GCTCACTCGGGCATTGCGACTGTCGGAGCGACGCGAACTACATAAATGGAGTAATCGGACTTTAAAAAAATTCTGTGTGGTAGAATCTGGAAAAAAATGTGGTGGATTTCAAAAAAATGTGGTAGATCTCTGGGTTTGGATCAAACTTTGTACAAAAATTAAAAAAAATTCTGCGAGGTTTCACCTAATTGCAAACTTTTTAGTTAGACTCTAAAAAAAATTAATTTTAGTATAGAAAAGTGCAAGATTGAGGTTGCTAAAAATTGCGTTGAATTTTGGCAATTTTTTTCCTTGACACTGTAAAGCAGTTCCCTCCATATCAAGATATTTTTCGAACATATTTTAAGAAATCTCTGCAACCTTGTGGAGTGCTGCCAGCTTTTCTTTTTATCACATCACGAAGTAGCGAACAAATGAGGCACGCTCCAGAAACAGCTAATTGGGATTTTCCGATTTTGACAATTCTCAAGTAAAAGTAAACAACGCCTCAGAAACTTTAGATACACTTAAATTTGCTAATACTTTCACAAAAAATGCCGTTTTTTAACATTTTCGTTTTTAATTCTTTTTTATAAATCATATATTTTGCAATTTAACACAATAAAACCACGTTTTCTGTCGAAAAATTTATTACTGAGAAAATTTACTATTTTACAGTTTATTTTATCCTCCCATTCGGCTTTGTTTGCTTTTACTTCAGAAATTTCATCGTCGCCGGGAATGCGGAATCTTGTATTATATCATCCTTGTTACCATATACTGTTTAGTGTTGGACAATTTTTGCTCTTAAAATTAAGAAAATTATGTCGAGCAAAAATAAAACCACACAAAAACTCGAATATGTGGTAGATTTCAAACCTTGAGTGGTAGATGTGGTAGATGCTCAGAAAAGTGGCAGATCTACCACAATGTGGTAGAAGTCCGATCACTGCATAAATGATATGCAAGTGATTTCTCTCAAAATAGATTTTCACCACCAGTGGTGAATGAGAGAGCTTTTTTCTTAGACTTTTTTACAAGAATAAGAAAAGTCTTTTGCGCTATCTTTCAAACCCATCTGTCCTTCGTTTGCCTTACGCAAAACTTTTTAGATACCATGTTATCCAGAATTGCCCCGTTGCTCTGCTGATGCGCTCTTACTTTTCGATTTTACTTTTCATGAGAGCTGGATACTAAGCTTATCTCAAGATTGCAACAACAACAACATTTTTGGGGGCAGAATGACTCCAACTCAGGTCTTAAACCGTGACCCTTATAGTAAAGCTTCCATATCTTTTTCCATTCTCAGGGCAAAAATTTTTTATGGCCATATTAAATTTTTGTAATTTTTTTACTGAATATTTTTAGAATAAGTAACAAATTTGTAAAAATTAGAGATAATAATAAGTAGATTGGCGCTTACACATTATGTTAGTAGTAGTGGGTCGTTTTTTAGAAAGTCTGAATAGAGGTATTCTCAGAAAAAATCTTTATACAAAGGACGTAAAAGTCCATAAAAAAAAACAAATATGCCCCCTTAAAATATGCAACATTCATTTAGCCACTGCGATGCGTCTTTATCAAAAATACTAATCCGGAAAATGGCTTTCTACAACATTTTAACCTTCCAACGACCGCCCAAATTCCATTGTATCTAAACTTACCGAAAGAAGTGGTCAAAACGACCCTTTCGTGAGAAAGCTAATGGGTAAGAATTTTCTGCAAAATTATTCCTTGTGAAATTTTACTATATGCATCCAAACTATGTAGGTATTTCGTTCCGATATGAATTTTAACCCTTTATTTCCATTTATTCTAAAAACACAAAAAAATCACCTGAGGATGCAAAAAGATTTAATACGGGTTTAAGTATTTTAACCTGGGTTGGCATTATTCCGCCTCCGAAAATTAAATTTAAAATTCTTTCAGACTTTTAGTAACGTTTAATTGATACTTAACAGCTATAAAATAATTGTTTGAAATATTTTCTTTTATTAAAAATTATATTACACTGCAACTGGAAATTGATAGAAATTTCGGAAATCTTTGCATATACTCAGCACGGTGAGGGACTGGTGAAATACAATATATGCTTATAGCGTACGCTAAAATAAATAAACAATATAGGAGCCACAAATATGGCATATCACATAAAGCCCTTTGTTAAAAAATACTTCGAATGAAAATTTCAAACCAAAACACAATCTGTTTTTTTTCAGGGTACGAAAATAAACTGTACAAAACAATTCCCATTTGCTCATCGATCATCATATCATTTGTGGTTTTGTACAGTTTTGTAAATAGTTAGAAACAAATTGTAAGATTTTCTGTCATTTTCCCCAACGAGAAACGTTTGCTTTTCGTTTGTGACAATTGTACCATAGGGTACGTTTTATATGTATGCAAACGTTTCAATTACATTAAAAATAATTTTTTCTGTAAATTTTCATATCCAATTCAATTAAAAATCATTTTTATTTTTTTTATTCATTGCAGCCATTCGTTTTGTATTTGTTTATTGCATATATGTGCATACATAAATATATTTTCCCTGCACGATTCATTTCGTTTGTTGTTTCGTCTGTAACTACTAAACTACTGTAGTGTACTATCGCCAAAGTGAACTCAGCCGTTTTGTTTAGTATTGTACCGAACTGTTAAAGTAATAAACGAAACGAAATAGTAACGTACAATATAGTTTATTTTCGTACACTGGTTTTTTTATACCTCCAAACACGCACGAAATAGCAAAGTTGCTTTTCAATGAAGAAAAAAAAAACTTGACGCTTTCATAAAAACGAAGTCAAGTGTGCTCAAGAAGACAACGCACCAACGCGAAACACTTTCTCAAGTGCTCTCTATAAAAACGCTTTGTTGCAAAAGAAGTCGAGTATGGCGTGTGTGTTTGTATGCACAAACATATATTAGACTGTACTACCTTAAATCCAAACAAAAAAAAAAATCGCCGTACAACTCTAAGTCTGAAGTATTTTTGCAAGGCAATTTGGGAAAAAAATGTTTGGGCCGAACCTACGGGTCGCACTGTAACATTTTTCGGTGACAACTATGGGCATTGGGCTATAAAATATTTGTTTAGTAGTTCTACAAGAATATTGAAAATACATTCTTAGCAAAAGTTACATAAGGGTGGTACGTAAGATGGACGGACGATCATACGGTAGAGCCACTCTACCAGCCTTCAGCTCAATGTTCATGTTCTTCCAAAAAAAAGCCTGCTGCAGGCAAACGAAATGGTAACCAACTTTTGCAAATCCTTTGGTATTTTTGCATTATTTGACCAGCTTAATCCAATGCTGTTGGTTCGATGCACATCACCTCCAACTTTTTGAAGTTTGTTTCACTGTATTATGTGTTACATATTATTTTGAGACTTACTTATATTATAAAATTCTTTCCGTATCCAATAATAGTGCGCAAGATATATTTTTATAAATTTATTTATTATAAAAGTCTTTTGTTTTAGTCTTTAAGGAAAGGACTTGTTTTGTACCATTTCGGGGCTAGTTCGGGATCATTTCGGAACAAGTTGGGGAACTATTGGGATTCATTTCGAGACTCGTTAGAACGCAGTTCGGGCGCAGTTCTGGACTAATTCGGAAGTAGTCCCGAAAAAGTACCGAAATAGTACCGGAAAGTACTGAACAAGTCCTGTCCTTTAAGACATAAAAAACTTTCTCACTTTTAACTATGATGAAAAGACTTTTTTAATAGGGGTATTCTCGATCCGTTACATGTGTTAAAACAACAACCAAATTATACAATCATGTTATTTCAGCTATCTATGCACCGTGCTAGACAGAAAGCAACGGATCGAGAACACCCCTAATGTAAGTCCAAAAAAAAGTCGTTGAAGACTTAAAAAATTTATCTCGCTGATAATTATTAGGAAAATACTTTTAAAATAGGGGTATTCATCTAACATCACAAACGTGATGAAATTATAAATTTAGTTAATCGCGTTATATGAATACTTCCAATATAAGTCTTCGAATATTAGTTATATGTAGATGGCTAGAAATCTTTTTATCTTACTATAATAATTATCAATTAATTTTTATTATTTTCTCTTATAACAGTTATGTCTCTGGGAAAAAATTTCGAAATTGCCCTCCAAAACTAAATTCGACTCAGGGGTGTACGGCAAACTTTTTTCCGGCACGCTCTAATGTACATACATACATTTTTATGTACGTACACACCAGTAAATATTTTTGTATAGGCACTCGAAAAGAAAGTTGCACGCTTTTCAAAGCATTTATTGAACTTCATGTGCAAGTAGTAGAGTACATTAAAGTACGTACACATATGCAAATGCATTGCAAACAAGTAACATATGTATATACATGCGTACATAAATGCACATGTATGTATGTATAAAAATTTATCAAAAAAGGGAGTACAAATTTTGCTTAAAAATATTGCAATTTCAAATTTGCACTCAATATGCAAACGCGTAGCAAAGGAAGTTGTTTTGAATTTCAATGGTAAAATATTTATTAAGAATTGCAAATGGACAAAAAAAAAACAAATTCAGAAAATAACAAACCGCAGGTATTGTCGCACACGGCTTCTAAAGCCGGCATTTCTGCACTCAAAAATATTCCCCGATGACATGCAAAACAACAAAAAATATATGTAAATACTCACAATGTATTTCAACAAACAAACTATATACATTTAAAAAAAGTTAAAAAAATACAAAAAAAGAAAATGTTACTTTGGCGGCAGCTAATGGACGACATGGCCAAATACAGACCTACAGCTATGCGCGCACCTGCAAGCCGCCGCATAAATGCAATTGCCAAACGATGCATGCAATGCGCAACCAGCAACGTGCAACAGCAAAATACACTACCACAACAACTACAACTACGATTGCCATTACAACTACCTACACCTGCATAATAAACATGCACATAACTGCATGCCAATCACTTGTACTCTTTATTTGTGTGTGTGTGTGTGTGTTTGCTTTCTTCTTTTTTTTCTGTGTACATTACCATCAGTATTGTGTTGGGTATAACGGATAAATCCATCGCTGGTATTGAAGTTAACAAACCACTCGGATACTTTTTCATGCGACTGGGGAAAAAAGTCGATTCAACACCCTGCGGTGGTAGTGCGAGTGAGTGCGGCACAGTGGAAAAAATTCGCCAAAGCAGCACACAAAACAAAACAAAAAAAAAAACAAAACACAACAGAAACAAATAAATTAAAATAAAATAAAAGCGCAAGCAGCAGTAGCATGTACAAAATACGTACATAAGGGCGTAGCCAGGAGGTAATTTAGTGGGGCAAAGGTAAATATTTCAATAAATACATTATTTTTTCATTTTTTTGTTAAACCATTTTTATACTAACTACTTAAGTAGAAGTACGCCTCGGATTTTCAGCGAACTCTTAAATTACACCGGCACAAAAAAAAGTTGTGTGCGCATTTAACCAGAACCTCCTATCGACGTGTTATTCGGCCCGCTGAATCCGAATCTGAGGTCCGTTTGACTCGTATACCCTCAAAATTTCGAGCAAATTGAGCAAAGCACAGATACGAATTCAGCAGGCCTTCTACATATATTCTCATTGGTCAGAGCCAGTTTAAAGGCGCGCGTTGCCAGCAGGCAATGTCCCATTAGAATACCTACCGGTAACCTAGCGTCATCTCTCTTGAGGGAAAGGACATAATCCTGAACACCTTGCAGCCTTGCGTTTTGTTCCATGTCTTCTGCGCTTTCCCCATCACGGACAGGTTGTGTTCCCAATTAATCTCTTGGAGGGAAATCGGCATTTCCTCTATCAGCATGGTTTCCGACGAAGCGCCCTCTTTGGCAAGCCTGTCTGCCTTCTCGTTTCCCGCAATGCCGGTGTGTCCCGGAACCCAATGTCGATGTACTTCATTATTGGTAATCCAGAGCTTCTCTGGACTGCGCCACACTTCTACGGAAAGGCTGTGCGATAGTAGCGAATTTATCGCAGCCTGACTGTAGATATGTATAAAGACTAACCTGCTTGTTTGCTAGATCGCTATTCAGTAGCTATGCCGCCCATCTTATTATTTTGTCAGCTTATAGGATTTATTGAGGCCGAGCCAGCACTTTTCATGCCATTAAGCTAGCCTTCGGCCGCTATAGTTGCTTCGAAGTTCGTTTCAAAGTGCCAATCCGGAATCACATAGTCAATTCGTCCGAGTAAATTTGACGCTATACTACTGTGACCGTAGGACCTGCAGGCAAACAGACCCGTAACATGAAGCCTGGTGGAAGTTTATGACGCTATTTTCTTGGCCGATAGGTCCACCGCCAAGAGGTGCTACAACGTGGTATACACTGCTGCCGTTGGTTTAATGCTAAGTGTCTGTCATGTTTCTAGGAAATGTTTTCTTATCCATTGCCGGCCACCAAGCCAATACCGCATGGAACAGTATCGGCCTTACTATCTCCCTAATGATCCTATGAGAAAGAGAAGGTAATCATCTTTATGCATGCATAGAATGCCACGGAGGCCACTTCTCTACATTGAAACGCAACGACAGCTTACTATCCAGTATTATTCTGAGATACTTGGTGCTTTACTTCACTGGTAGGATCACTCCATCCAGCTTAGGCTTAAACCAGTTCGGAATCTTGTATTTCCTAGTGAAGAGTACCAGATCTCTATTTTCTCCATTACTGATATGCGCTTGAAATATCAAGGCCCTCCATAGGAAAGGCGCTTCTACCCAACTGATGGTTGGGCCTTATAACGAAGAAGAAATTTCTCATCGACGGGATAAAAATGAGCAGTGGGAATCCATCACCCAATCTCTTCATACCTCTGCAGGTTTGCTACTACCGCCCTAATGTCCCCTATTTCAACTTTAGTTATTTAGTATACACAAGAATTATATTAAACCCTGCTGCGAAATCTGCATTGAGTCAATATCGCTGAGTGTGTAGTCGTCCTAGTAGTCGATGAGCTAGCGTTGTGGTAATTACTGATTCCTCTTCTTCACCACAGAATCTGAAAATGTCTGTACTAGAGAGGCCAAGTATGTGCATGTGTTTGTTTTACGTAAAGTGCCAGTTAGTGCTAGTTAGCAGAGCGCAGATTGAGTTCTTTTGTCACTTAAGCAAAGGAACTTCTTTGAGTGATGGTGTCCCTCCAGCTTGTCGCCATGGCTAGCAGTGCAGGATATTGTCCACTTGTTGAGGTCCCTTTTGATGTCGTTGTGGTTGAATACAAAAAATGGGCTAGGTCCAACAAAAGGTATGTCTCCCCTTTTTATAGCTTGGCATGACACCCAGATTAATAAAACCTCATTCTACGTGGCTAAATCATTTATTGCTCTATGGCACTCTATAAGGGTTTTTGATGAGAGCTATCTAGAGCTGTAGCTATCTAGAGCTTCCTGGAGAGATTGGCTATCCCAAAATATGGAGATTTTTGTTCTGACATATTGCTTGTTTAAAAAGACGTGGGTGGTCTCAAGTATAGCAGCAAGTTCCGCCTGGAATATCATTGCGTCTTCACTTAAGGGAAAATATGTACGGAATCGCCCATCGATTTATCAGTATATAATTTTTGTGAATCATCGTGCAGCCACGCGGGGTTTCTGCTCCAATCTTCAGGAGTGGGCAATATGATCTTGTGCCTCTTCGTAGAGCTAAGTATCGGATCAATTTGGTGTGAGAACAGGATTTTTACCGTGTTGACCTCCTTTCCCTTTAAAATTTCTAGCTGGCCGACAAGGTTGCCTTGTCTGAATATATTTTTCCTATGTAGCATGAATGCTTGTGTTGCTGTGTCCTCTTGTGTTACTACATGAAGGGGTGTAAGTTTGAGTAGGGCTTCCATACATGCAGCGGGTGTTCCTTTCATCGGCCCTGCTTCAGATAGACATGCAAGTCGCTGGATCTTGCACAATTTTTTAATATCTGTTGTTTGACTTTACACCATACGAGTACCCCGTACACTATTGTGTGTTTGAACATCTGAGTATAAGTCATTTTGGGATTGAACTCCCATATTTTTCTCACAAATCTCTTAAGTGGTAAACAACTATTTTGTTGCTATGTTAGTAATAGATTTACGATATCTCTCCGAAGTGAGTTTTCGATCCAGAGTTATGCCTAGATATTTGACCTCCTCCCTTAGGGGAATCAGTATCATTTATGTTTAGATCTGGAAAGAATAGCTTAATTTTTCTAGTGAAAGTTACGATTGTAGTTTTATTGGGATTTATGGACAATCTCTCTTTCCCACACCAATTGTAAGTTATGCTTAGGGCGTCTTGCATCAAGTCCCTAATGGTTCTTTCATGGTCTTGATATTCTTTTAGGGACTTAATCATCAGCCAGTATATACCACAACAGTGGAGATAGCCCTCCTCCCTGTGGACAGCCTTTTACTGCAGTGATGCTGAGTTCCTCCGGTTCAAGGTTCAGCAACAGTTGCTTTATTCCAAGCCACCCTGAAGCCAATTAACCGCGCCACTATTGAGCTGTTCCGCGACAAAAAGGTAGGAAAAAGAGAGGTTTGTATATTTAAAAATAAGAAAACAGAGGCAGGACTGCGGCGCGAAAATAAGAATAGCGACACAGGTAGTTTGACGAAAAAGAATGCTGCGCTTGCTTCAATGTATCAGCACAGAATAACGTAGGCCTCATGTGGAAATGTAGAGCATAGTTACGAACTCACAATTTGTTTTTCTTTTTATTATCAATTTTTTTAATCATCTCATAATTTATTTCATCATATGTAATTTATTCATCTTATAAGTTTGAAGGAGGACCGCTACCCATGATGATCCTACCTGGCTACGCCCTTACAAATTTACATACATACAGTATAAGCATGTGAAAGCAAAATAAAATTAATGAAATAAAACAAAAAGTTTCAGCAGTAAAATAGGATATACGAGTAAAATGGTGTGTACGCGCGAGTGAAGCAAACAATTTTAGGTGGCGAATAAATTGGCGGCACGAGAAAACAAAGCAGATTTATAAATGAAGTGTGGAACGAACAATTAACACCAACGCCAAGCCACGCAAAACCAAACCAAGCTCAAATACGTGTACATTGCAATTGTGGCGTAGATTTCATGATTTATTGCATTTAATATACATATGTATTTGTGTATGTATGAAAAATGCTTCACCTGAAGTGAAATTTATTTCTCTTTTCTTTAATTAACTTCCCTTTGGTGCGAGGCCAAAAATTTGTACTTGCCTACATACATACATATTTATGTAGGTAAATTTTTTTTAAACTTTTCAACACACTTATTTTTATTGTATGAAAAGCATTAATAACAGAGGTCAACAATATAGAACAATTTGTTTGGTGTCGAGTTATTTCAATGAGGCAAATGTATTTCGTTATATATGTGGTGAATACACAGTTGAAAAGTTCCCAGAACCTGCAACAGATTTTAAAAAGTTCTTATTTTGCCTACTTCAAATGGAATAATGATTTATCCACAAGCCGCGGATAACCAAAATTTTTTGTAAACAGTGCTGCGATTTCAAAGGAAAGCCAAAACCCTTTACCCAAGAAGAAGTAAATAATATTGTTTTTTTTTCTTGTTCAGATTACAAGTCGTTATTCTGGCAATGGGAATGTCGTAAATCCACGCTTGATTTCAAGAGATAGAATTATATTGGCCCGCCTCTTTGTATATAAAGCTGGGCCTTATAAAACAGGTTATTAGTTTAGCAATCAGTTTTTTATATACATATATAATTTTTTTTCTTTCTTTAAAACTAAAAAAGAAACACAAAAAAAGCAATTAAAACACTGCATAAGATCCTAAAAATTAAATGAACTAAAAAAAATATATTTTTTCTTTTTAAAACAACATAATCTAAAAATTAATAAAAAATGAAACTAACAAAAGAATGAGAAATTGAATTAAAAAAAAACAGAAAAAATAAATAAAATAAATTTTTAAAAAGTAAACGAATTTAATAAAATAAATATTTTTTTATTTTATACGCAATAAAATCTAAAAAATTTAAATAAAATTTAACTAAAAAACTAAAAAAAAATAAATAAGTATCCTAAAAATCAAATTAAATCAAATATATATTCATTTTAAAATAATAAAAACCAACCAGCTATGAACAAAGAACTC